TACTAGAAGCGATGCACTTGTTCCTAGTAGCGTTCTTGCTCCTAGTATGACCAAAAGCATGAACTGAAACCAACAAGTTGATGCATCAAAGGTAGATCGTATAGCATCACGACTCGACTCGGAGCCGCCTCGGAGCCTGTCTTGACCGCCGGCGCGCGGATTGCGAAGTCCGCGGCGTTTCTCGGAGCTTCCGAAGAAAAGACTTGTCGGACACACCGGAGGAAAAGGCAGCGTCCTTTTCCGGTATTGAAAGAAGGGCTCCCTTGCAAAGGAATTTCCTTTTGGCTCCTTTTTGACTTGGACACGGATGCATTGAATTGTATTGAATGAGGCCATGCTTGCTGTGGCCATCATGGTAAGTGACCAGCTGTGCATCCATTTAAAAGGAAACACCTTGTAAACCTGGACAAAACACAGCAAGGTCACAGAAAAAGGTACACTGAGTCACGTCATACTTCCATGGCAGCAGGGAAAGGGAGCGAGATGCTCCAATCATCAGCAAAAGGTCCCCTGTGAAGGCACAGAGGTGCTGTGTGGCCGACCTACTCTGGCCTCCAACCTAAGTGCTAAAGTGATCCGAAACAAGGCGCTGTCCGAAACCAGGCCAGATGTAGACTTGTCACAAGGGAGCCGGCCATACTGTAGATGCCCGTACTCACTGCTCACCTGCCAGAACATCGAAAAGGGCCTGCTGGGTGGTGGAGGTCTTGGGTCAGGAGCTTGGGTCAGTGGCGAAGAGATCGAGGAATCGGAGCGACATAGCGATATGGCCTCCGATGCACTTGTTCCTAGTAGCGTCCTTGCTCCTAGTAGTAAGGCACTTGTTTCTACTAGCTTCTTGTTACTACTAGTAAGGCACTTGTTACTACTAGTATTTGATACGTTTTTTTTTTCTCTTTTGGTTCAACGGAGCCCAAGGTTCTCTGGTCTCGACGAGGATATTGACACGTCAAGCTATCAGAGGCACGCGTTTTTATGAACCCTTATGAACTTTTTTTTTTGGTATTTTTGTTACTATTTTTTTAATTTTTTTCAGAGCCGCGAGTCAAAAAAAGCTTCTACATTTACAAGAAATCTCATAAGAACAACTTCAACGTTCGCGGCGCTGGAGGTTGAAGACCGTTGTTCACGATGAGCTGAAGAACTTTTTCCGGCCAGAGTTTTTGAATAGACTGGACGAGGCCACCAAGCTTATGTGAAGACAGAAACATAGAGAAACAAGAAAAGAGAAAGGCCTTAATGCTATTAGGTTGGAGGTCATTGCTATTAGAGAAACAAGGAAAAACAAAGGCCTTAAGTTGTGCGGAGCTGTGGACACCCGCACTTTCTGCCCGCAGATCATCGTCTTCAAGTCGCTGAACAAGCAGGAAGTAGCTCAAATAGCAGAATTAGAATTCAGGACGGAATGCTGAACTGTCAAAGTGATGTGAGAAAATCTGACATGCTTGCAGCTGCTTGCATACTTGGCTTTCTCGTTTGTCAGGAAGGTTTTCAAATTGACGACCGAGAAAGGCATAAAGCTTTTGTTGACAGACCGGTTCAAGAAGAAGGCAAGACTTGCGGCAAGACTTGCAGCAACATATGCGAGACCATGCGAGAACCGAATAGCTGTAGAAGACCAAAACTAGACACAGCTGATGAAGCGATGGCCTCCAACCTAATAGCAAAAGGAACCTAGTAGGAATAACCTCCAACCTAAGAGCGATGGCCTCCAACCTACTAGCGATGGCCTCCGACCTAACAGCTGCTGAAGCATTATACATAGCATTATTTCAGATGTTTATTTAAGGGCCTTTTTGTGGCTATACATGGCCATACGGATGCTGAACATAATCTTATTTTTTTCGTTCCAATGTGGTTGGAGAGTGTGAAGATGTCACATTATTTGTTTGTTTGTTTCTTTGTTTTTGTTATTTCTATTTTTTTCCATGGTTTCTAATAGCGATGGCCTCCATCCAACTAGGAATGGAGGCCCAACCTGAGAGCGAACACATGGATTGTGGGAAGCTTTGTCTCTCAGAGGTCTTTTTTGGCTTTCACTTTTCTTGAGCTGAGCCGCTGTGCGTTCACGAGCACTGATACGTACTGATGCATTTCATTGAAATGCTCGTATCTCGGATCAGACTTGAGCGACAATTGAAATAAAGCTTTTGGGACGCTACAAACGGGGCTCCTGGCCGTACTAGGAGCATTTCGGGCATCGCTACGAACGGTGCGTTTTGGAGCTAAGACGGAGTATCACGAGTAACCGGGTGCGGTGAACGGAGGTGAACGAAGGCTGCGAGCGCTTCAAGGAAGCTTTTTCCAGGGCCTTTAGGGCGGGGAGCTTCCTTGAAGCGTGAGCTATCCTGTGTCCGGTAGGTACTGCGTTTTAGTATGCGCCTACTTAATTAAGCAAGGCACGGGGCAGAGCGGGCTCCAGAGGTGAATGCAAGCTGCTTCTTTCTAGACTCCTAGACGTGTGTTATGCCAGATCTCGCGCGAGGTGGTGGATGAAGGCTTCAATCCGGTCTACGGAGCACGACCTCTTAGACGGGCTATCACCAGACTCTTAGAGGACTCCGAGAGTCTTTGATTTTACTTTTTCTTTGTTCATTGCGTCTTGTGCATCGCTGCTAGCGATGGCCTCCAAGACCTGAGACAAGAACCTGGCACAGATTGCGCGGAAGACATTGCAATGCGCACTAACGCAGGTGAATCTGTCGCCTGAGCACAGCAATGATCCTACAAGTACTCCAAAAAAAAGAGAGAGTCAAACCATCCAGGACTCACAAAGTGACGAGGCGAGCTTGCCTCAAAGCTACACCAATCAGCTTGCCAGCTGCGCTGTAGACACTTCTGAGCGGTCCCCTTTTTGAATCAAAACCGGTCATGTCGGGCTCGGCGCTGGTTCGCTGCAGGCCACAAGGAACAAACCATGGCGACTGTGTGGTGTTTGGGTGTTTGCACAGCGACGCGTTCGACACGCAAAAGGTTGAAACAAGGCTTGCTTTTTCAGCCCTTTCAACAAAGAGGAACAACAATGGCTCTCTTAGGTTGGAGGCCATCTCTATTAGGTTGGAGGCCATCGCTATATCAGGTGAACTCTATAGTAGGTCTTCGTTTGGACTATGACTCACCCGTACGGTCGAGGACCAACTTGCAGAAAGCTTCCTGGAGATGCCTGGATGCCGAGAAGCGAGCAACGGAGCAAGGGAGAAACCGACCCCCCAAAATGAAGAGACTGGAGCCTCCAAGGCTTTGTATGGAGTTTCTTGATGTTTCTTGTACCGCAGTGAAACAGCGACAGTTCTTGCAACCTGAGATCCAAGTCAAGCCACAATTGGTCCCTTGCGGCTCAATCCAGCTGTGGAACCAGCAGAAAGAACTAGAAAGACATGAAGGCGATGGAACCTGCGCTTCAAGAGCATTGGACAGGAATCTGTGAGGTGATGGATAGGATTGAATTCTTTTCGCCCAAGCAGAGCAACCCAAACAGCCCACTCTTACTTTTCCTAAGATGTCAAGATGTCATGCAACGCATGTTTTTCTTATTTCAAGGACGCTACCAGGAGCAAAGGGCATCGCTACTAGGAGCAAGGACGCTCCTAGGGCTCCTGGCCTTACTACTCGTAACAAGAAGCTACTAGTAACAAGTGCATCGCTTCTAGTAACAAGTGCCACGCTAGTAGTAACAAGTGCCTTACTAGTAGTAACAAGAAGCTACTAGTTTCTTTATCATCCGCTTCGGCACGCGTCGCAATGCGGCTCGCAATGCGTCGCATCATAGTGTTTGTCATATGGTGGCATTTGACCCTGCCCTTGGCTTCGCAGAGTGCCTGGCAACAGAGATTTCTCAATGAGGCAGTCCAACCAGGGCAAACATGCCAGTCTAAGAAGGCCAAAAACGGTTCTTTTACAGCTAAGACAACTCCTTTGACTCTTTTAGTGGCCAAGTAGAAGTCTTCACTGTAGCTACTCGCCACATGACTGCCAAGGGATTTTTTGGGCCTTGTAAGGCCATGCCCGACGCTAGTACGGCCGCTATCAGGTTGGAGGCCGTCGCTAGTGGATTAACTCGTAACAAGGTTCGCTACTAGGGGCTCCTGGCCTTACTACTGGGAGCAAGGACACTAGAGCTGCTAGTCATGCGTCGCATGCGTTGTCTCGACTGTAGGTGAACTCTACAGCCTTGCAGCGCTCAAGCGCCGCCACGCCGAAGCTGCTCGCGCGCTTGGATGGCGCCGTTCGGTGGTTTCCGGCTATTTGTTCCTCGTCGTTCTCATGCTTTTCTAGTTGTTTTTTCTAGTCCTTTCCGCTCTGATGCAAGGGGGTGTTCGCTCCGAGAAGAGTTGTTTGCAGGTGTTGTTGGTGTTCTTTTCGGCCTAACCGTCCACCAACATGCTTCGGATTTGGATGTGATTGAAAGAGTCTTCCAACAGCTTTTTAGCTGCACAATTCAGTAGACCAGGTAGACAATGCGAGTCGTGGTGAATTGCAGGTTGTGGTGAAACTGGTGCCTTTTTGAGCCCCATGGACTGCCCAAGCTGGATTTTCGCAGGTGCAGATACGCGTGCCTTTCTGGCCCGTTGCTGTCCTGAGGCGCTTAGCCAGAGGGCTGGCCTTTCTCGCAGCCAAGAACAGTTTTAAAAGGAAGGTGTTGATGGTTTTTTCTTTTTTACACAACGCCTCTTGAAGGGCGTTGGCTTTGGTAGCCTTTTGCCATCCCTCACTGCATGCTCTTCACTTCACCAAGAAAAGAATACCAGAAAGAAAAGACGAAGAAACGACCAAAAGACATGAGGTCTGCATCGCTTCCAGTAACAAGTGCCTTACTAGTAGTAACAAGAACTCTACTAGGAACAAGTGCATCGCTACTAGTAACAAGTGCCTTTCCTTAGACCCTTTTTGTGAAGAAGGTCCTTAGACCGGTCCTTTCGTAAGCAGACCGGTGAGGTGGCTCAGTGGCCAGCAGCGGACTTGGCGGAGACGTTGCGGCAAAACCTGCGAGCCGCGGAGGTGGTGTCGGGCTTCAGCAGTGAGGTGCACCTCGCTGCATTAGAAGGAAGAAACATCAACAAGTAAACGACCCATTAGACGGATGCATTCGCAGGAGCATTCTTTGTTTTGCATAAAGAAATGAGCATTAGAGAATCAGACTTTAGACCTCTACTTTCTCATTTGGACGGATGCGTTGATGTGTGTGTTTGCAATACTGTTTCGGAATCCCGACTGGCCGTCGACGCGCCAAGGTGAACAGATCCTTTTTTTCATTCTCTTTGTCGGAAGCTGAAGACGTTTCTCATTACGAGAACCTGCGCCTCGGATGATGAGTAGGTAATAAGTTTGGCATATCAACTGTAGAGTACTTTGCTAAAGAAAACCACTCAAGACTTCTTTTTTCTTTCCCTTGACTTTTGTCCTTCGAGGTGGGAGCTTTGGATGAGAAATCATGCTGAGCTTAGCAACTATTCTGTTGGCATGGATTGGGTGGAGACCAACTTCTACGGGTTCAAACCATTCCAGGAGACTTGCCAAACCGCTCGTTTGAAAACACTAAATAGTGTTCTACTAGCAAGAGACTGAACCCAAGAAGCTTTCCTGTTGTCATTCTGTCTTGACGATTCTTGAATGTACTAGTAGCAAGGACGCTACGAACGTAGCTCCTCTTACTACTAGTAGCAAGAAGCTATTAGTAGGAACAAGATGTACTAGGGGCTCCTGGCCGTACTACCAGGAGCAAGGACGCTACTAGGAGCAAAGGGCATCGCTACTAGGAGCAAGGACGCTACTAGGGGTTCCTGGCCGTACTACTAGGAGCAAGGACACCACTAGGAGCAAAGGGGAGTCCAACTTGAAGATGTGCCTGAACCGCGCAAGATCCCATGCCTAGTGTCCAGTGATGTTCTTCATCAAGTTGTCTTTATTGCAAGCTGCCCTTTGGAAAGCTCTGCGCTTGTGGCCCGTTTGAACCGGATGATTTCCAGTGGCTTCCCTGCAGTTCAAGTGCTTGTCTAAAGGGCAACCTTTCTCAGGCAGCTCACTTGCCACTTTCGGAGTTTTGCACTTGTAAAAAGCAAACAAGCACGCGCTTGTTTCGTACTGAAAGGTTTTCCCAGCGAGCCAAGCCGGTTTCTTTGGGACGTTCCGAATCGGGCGTTCCGAATCTGCAGGAGCCTGCCTACCCAAAGAGCATGGAGGAGGCAGGCTTGTACTGGTAGCTTCTAGTAGCTTCTTGTTACTACTAGTAAGGCACTTGTTACTACTAGCGTGGCACTTGTTTCTAATAGCGAACATTGTTACTAGAGCATGGAGGAGGAGGTCGTGGGATGTCGAACGTGCCGTCCGTCGTCGTCCGTCGTCGTCCGTCGTCCGTCGTGTCGAGGCCAGAGAAAGAAGCGCTTACTTTCTGCTCAACTCCCTGCGCGTGGATGTGGGTTCTTGGCCAGAATTGGCTTTCTGAAGCTGCCGGGATCTCTTAGAACAAGACACAACTAGTTAAATTTCTCACAAAAATCTAGGAACCAAATGGATAGTGCTTCTTGGGAGCTTCGTTGAAGACTCAGCTTTCCTGAGTCCTGCTACCTTTAGCTTTCAAGCTACTACTGGCCCCTTATTAGTTATTGGTAGCTACGAAGGTTACCTCGGCCTCCTCCTCTTTTAATAGAAGCTGTGTACACACGTTGTGTGCTCTGTGCTCAGGTTCACCGCTCTACGGAGATATCACCGTGGTTTTGCTTCCAAGCTTTGCTCACCGTGTGTCGGTCACTTGAGACCTGACGGTTCCCATACCCGGTCTGGATCGCCTTCGGAAGGAAGAACCGGTCTGAAGAATTCTAAAGGTAAACATGAATGTATATATATATATATATACGTGTTTCTTCCAACTTGAAAGTCAGTACGGCTCCACATGCCACGACAATGTCAATTTGATTTTGTGTTGCCTGGTTTCCTCACCCTTTCTGTGACAAACAGTTATAATATAGTGCAATAAGAAACAACACTTCGAACGAACTGTTTTGCATTTGTGCTGTCGTCAGTGGTTGAATCACCGGAAGTTCTCATCTTATGTTCCATAGTCTTGTTTCTATGTTATTATGCTATGTCCGCCCCAACATTCATTCGTGAGTTCTGTCGGGATTTCAGCACCCTTGATCATTGTAAGTTTGCTCAGACTGGTGACGGGCCTTGATGTCTCAGGTTTTCCAATAGCATTGCCCTAGTAGTATGGCCAGGAGCCCCTAGTACCGTTTGTAGCTTCTTGTTACTGCACATGTGGAGCCATTTACAGCAATGCGTTTTGGTATAGCTGTAGCGTCCAAGCGCTTCCTCCACGCTTGATGCCAGAGACCATGCTTGAACGCCAGCGCTGTATGTAGAGGTCACGGGAGGCTGTTGTGGTTCAGATAGCTGTTTCCTTAATTGGAGATTGGTGCAGTTGCTGCTGCGGGCACAATGTAGATGTAGTAGTAGTAGTAGTAGCAGCAATTTCTGAGGTGATTTCACCTCTTGATTCGGGCAGCTGGTGCGGCTTTTGTCACCAGTGTTTCCAGATGCCAACCCCAAGCCACTTGACAGCAACGAAGGAACAGGGGAACAATCGGGGAACTATGTGGGTGCCTATGAAAATGGAAACACTTTCAGAAATCAAGACGCTTAGTTCTATTAGAAACAAGTGCCACGCTAGTAGTAACAAGTGCCTTACTAGTAGTAACAAGAAAGCTAGTAGAAACAAGTGCATCGCTACTAGAAATCAAGACGCTTAGTTCGTTTTATCAAGTTCACGGTCGAGGTTCGAGATCACATTTGTGAACGCTTTTGTAGAACGGTGTAAGTGTAGCAGAGGAGTAAAAGTCAAACGTGCGGCCCTACATGATGGATGGAAATTGTTTGCATGCTGTGTAGTAGGGTTGAGGCCATCGCTCTTAGGTTGGAGCAGTTCTTTGCTGCTTCTTGCTCCTAGTAGAAATGCCCTTGGCTCCTAGTAGCGAACATTGTTCCTAGTAGTAAGGCCAGGAGCCCCGTTCGTAGCTTCACTGTTTGAACGTTCTTTTAAAACCCGGTGTTTCTCAGTGTGAGGCTATTCACACAACTGCAGCGCCTGGTCTGGTCCTGAAGGGCTGGGGACCTTCCAGGCCGGTGGTGCGGTGTGCCGACAAAAGGTCAAGTTCCAAGAACTAACATGTTCCTAGTAAGGCACATCAGGCACATCTTCAAGTTGGACTCCCCTTTGCTCCTAGTGGCGTCCTTGCTCCTAGTAACTTACGTAGCTTAAGTAAGGTACTAGCTGCCTCTTCCACTAGCTACCTACCTTAGCGGCCCAAGCGGAGTCGCCAGAAAGAGGAACGGCGCCAGACGGCGCAAGAAACGCCAGGCCTTAGACCATCTCCTTGGCATCAACGAAGCGTATTGGGCCACGCCTGAGGTGCGAAGCGATTTGTGCTTCGCTACTACTAGGAGCAAGGACGCTACTAGTGGCCGCGGCATCGCTAGGAACCTAGCTCTATTTTGCTTTATCAGGCTAGCAAGAAGCTATTCAGGCTATCAGGATGGAGGCCATTACTACTAGCAAGAAGCTAAAGAGACGAGAGAAACGATTATTCGCTACTAGTAACCGGACGCTACTAGTAGCTCCTGGCCTTACTATATACTAGGAACAAGAAGCTTCTAGTAAACAAGGGCATCGGTACGAACGGAGCAAGAACTGACGACCGTGACAGGATGTGTAGATTTTCTCCTGTTTTGGGAGGAGTATAGCGATGGGCTCCACCCTACTGGCGATGGCCTCCAACCTACTAGCGGTTTTTTCAGCTGCTACCGTGCCTTCCTGACAGGCCTTTCTGCACCCACTGGGACGATTGCTGGGCTCTGCGACGTTCACTGGCGAAGACTTGGTGCGATACTTCGAGGCCGAATTTTTTGAGGAAAGACCGATGGGACCAGGTCGAAGAACGTTTTATGAACGGGGTTTCAACAGTTTCTTTTCTGTAGCAACAGAGACAAGGACAAAACAAAGGAGCAGAAACTCAGGGTTGCGGCAGCTTTCTTCATGGATCTCGTTCTGATTCATCTGAGTGCATTACTACTGGTAACAAGGTGCATTGCTTTTGCGCATTTCTTCACCTCTTGGCAAACCGCGATCTTTCGAGGTGATGCCTGCCGCAAAGATTGAATTTCCTCAACACGTAAAGCAGCTCAGAGGATGTCTCAGACCGTCAACGGAGGAAAACAGAAAACAAGGATAGACAAGGAAGGAGAATAGAAAGAAGGCTAAAAGGCTAAAAGTGTTTGAAGAACACCGGTCTGTGTTGTTTTGTTATTTTTTAAATCTTTTCAAATCATTTTTTAGTTTCTTTAGCAGCAAAACTATGAGAGTTGCCTCACCAACCTCTGATGCCTGTCCTTTTAGACTGCTGGCAAGCATGAATTGCGGCCAAGGTTCGTCATTGCTGCCTTTCCAAGCCTTTTTGGGACAATGCGAGGGGAACGTGTTCGAAGTTGGTGTCGAAGAAATGGATGGCTGCTTGTTTGGTCTTTGGGATTGAATGTGGGCTTCTCCACAGATCATGGCATTTTGGTCAAGACCTTGGCAAAATTTTGATTTACATGTTGGTTTCCCTGTCAAGCACGTTTCATGTGGCAGATGACACATGCCGTATTGAGAGCTGATTGAACACTGTTGAAGGCAAGAAAACCCATGGTTGACCCTCTTCTGGTGCCTTATTTTCTCGTTCAGATGCACAACACAAGCGCCAGCTTGGTGCGTGAACGAACAGAAAATCGGTTAGGGGTTTTCTCCTTTTGCGTCTGCTGTGATAGCTTCTTGTTACTAGTAGTAAGGCCAGGAGCCCCTAGTAGCGTCCTTGCTCCGAGTAGTAAGGCCAGGAGCCCCTAGTAGCGTCCTTGCTCCTAGTAGCAAGGCCAGGAGGTTCTAGTAGCGTCCTTGCTCCTAGTAGCAAGGCCAGGAGCCCCTAGTAGCGTCCTTGCTCCTAGTAGTGAGGCCAGGATCCCCTAGTAGCTTCTTGAGGTATGCCTCATTTCTGGGATGTCCGCCACAAGGGCCCATTCCTTTGCAAGCAGCGGCTAATTGATCCGGTGCTGCTGGAGTGGCTTGGGGCAACTCGTGACTGACAGACGATGTCACTACTGAGACCTTTCTTCTCTTTCTGTTTTCCTTGGTTCTATTAGCGATGGCCTCCAACCTTCCTACTTTTTCGGAGTTGAATTCTTGAATCTTTGGACGTGATCTCGCCCTGATAACGTAGGCTACGCACCAGCATGAAACTTGATGGTTTGCCACCTCATTTTTTGCCCGAGAGCGCCTGCGAAGGGTTCTTCGTTAAAAAGACATCTGCAGAACTACGTCTCATCTACATCTTCACATCTTCACCTCTGCACATCTACATTCTCACCTATATCTCTGCTCATCTTCACATCTACATCTCTGCTCATGTTCACATCTGCACATCTACATCTCTGCTCATCTTCACATCCTCACATCTACATCTCACATCTTCACCTCTCGCTCTTCTTTACTTTCTCTCTTAAGGCCGGGGGCGGTGCCGCCGGAGCACCACGAAACGCAAACCTCTGCGGAAATCGTGCGTGTCGAGGGCACGAAATGCAGGCGAGAGCGCGTTTTGGCCCGGTCGCGGGCAACCCTCTGCGGAGATCGCCGGCGCAACCCTCTGCGGAGATCGTGCGTGTCGAGGGAGCAAAGTGCAGGTGAGAGTGCGTTTTGGGTGCTTTTCGGAGCTGGACTCAGAAGTGGCCAGCTTGTAGTGCAAATGTAGTGCCGGAAAGAGCCTTTCGGAGCTGGACTCAGAAGAGGGCAGCTTGTAGTACAAATGTAGTGCGGGAAACAGCGTTTTGGAGCTGGACTCAGAAGTGTTTGCTTCTAGTGTGATGTGATTGCTTCCAGTGTGTGGGCAGACCGTGTGGCGAATTACGTCCGTGATGTCGAAGTGCCATGCGGACTTGCGCGGCCTTGATGGAAAGTGCGTTTGCGTGGCGCCGTGCAACTGGGGAGCGTGAAACATGCTGGCGTAAACGCGGCGTGTCGCTGGTGAGCGGGATGACTGGCGGTATCGTGTGCTAGGATTGCTTCTAGTGTGCTCTGTACATTTACATCGTCACACGCGCACATCCGCAGATCTACCTCTCTACCTCCACACACCCACACATCTGCACATCTATATATATCACATCTGTACATCCACACTGTCACTCCTTCACATCCGCCCTCTCTTTTCCTCCTTCTATATATATATATATATCTCTTTTCTTTACATTTTAAGTTTAACTTCTTCGCAACTTCTTACTCAATAACAGATTGTATAGAGAAGTCATGGCTCTTGGACAACTCGATTTTTATTGTTTCATAACTCGACAGTGCTGAACAATCACCTGTCTCGCTCTCGGGCCAACCGTCGTCTAGTTTCAAAAAAGCACGCGACATGCTCCCGGCTGTCGGGGATTGGTTGCTCTTGGGCTAAAATCTCTTCCTTTCAGGTCGGCCCAGCTGAACGCGACGGCCGCGTCGGAGGATCTGACGGCCTTTGCGGCCTCATGGCGCCAGATGAGTTCCCTGCGTGCGGCCACCCTGCAACCAGAGGCCCCACTGGTCGGCCGTCGCCCTCACCGTGGTAGTCACGGGGAGTCACGGGGAGTCCTTCGATGAGTGGCGCGTCAAAGGATATTTCAAGGGGAACCACGCTGAAAAGCGAGTGAACTACTAGGAGCAAGAAGCTAACAAGCCGTGATGTAGCTATCAGAGTTCTTCTTGAACATCGAAGAAACGAACTTTAAGCATCCCTTAATTAAGACCTCTTACGACTCTGCTTTCGTGGGGAGGGTCTTAGAACTACCTATCGGTTCCTGCCCCTTACAATATTTTGGTGTGGAGTCTTGAACACTGTTTCCTTTATCGTCGCTTACTGCTATTCTCAAGTATTTCCAGCTGTATTTCAATCGGCTGTGGATTATACACACTGCCCACGGCTGCCGTTCGCCGAGAAAGGACTTCTCTGCTTTTTGGACGGCGCTGGTGGCAAATCTCTCAGCAGATTTGCAGACACTTAGGCGGCAAGTGTCTCTAACCCCAGAACTGGGGATGCAGAGTCGAGCACGACGGCAAGTGTATGAAACGTGTCATCGGAAGGATGCACCCTAAACAAGATAATCTGTCAAGGGAACCGGCTTTGATTGTAATCTGGAACAGGTCTTTTGCACCTTCGGTTTTGACGATGCGTACGGGCAAACAAGTTTGAGTTGTGGGTGAACCTGCCGCACACGCAGTTGGAGAATGGCTGGCAAATCCAGCCCCATGATGCTGTGCACATGTGTGTTTGGTTGAGCTGTGTTTGTGTGACGATGTCTCTTTGCTAAGGATAGAAGCTGTACGACCTTCCTGTGATTTGGATCGCTGTATGGGTGTAACGCACCGGGGATGTCTTTGCAGAATGCGCAGTGAAGATGAAGGAATGCGCACCTGGACAGTGTGAGCGCGAAACAAAAGGAGAGTCTGCGTGCTGCATCCGAAGAACATAACAATTCAGCAGCAAAAGGTCCTCGAGCCCCAAGAACCACCGTAGACGGAATGTTTCTACTAGGACTAGTAGCAAGGACGCTACGAACGTAGCTCCTGGCCTAACCTATATAGTAACAAGAAGCTACGAACGCAACAAAGGGCATCGCGACGAACAGAAGACTCCTGGCCTTACTAGGAACCAGAACGCTACTAGGGGCTCATTGTTTCTAATAGCAAACATTGTTACTACTAGTAAGGCGCTTGTTCCTAGTAGCGAGGCACTTGTTACTAGTAGCGCTAGGGCCGCTCAAGCTGGTTGAGGCCTTCCACGGAGGGTGAGAATGTGATTGTTGATCTGGACAAGGACGAGCAAGCAGGGGTTGCCGAGATCCATCAAACGGCGGCAGGACGATCACATCAAACGGGATCAAACGGCCTCTTTGGATCGGACGAAGTCTGCCCGTCTACGGCCTCTTGCCGTCCTCTCAGGTCCTCGTCTTGCGACAGCAAGATGAAGCTGAGGATGCAGTTGAAGAGGTCGGAATTTCGTTCCAAACCGTTCAACAGTGGAACGAGACAAAGCGACCCACACGAATTCGGTCGAACCATTGTGGAAAGAGACTTCTAACGTCATCAAACGTCCATTTCATGACTTTTGACGCAGCAAAAAGGGGTGTATTCCAAACGACACCCAGACTTGTGCTTTGAGCGGTGTAGCGGCGCGGCTTTCGCGTAGGTGGAGGAGAAAGTTGCAGAAGTGACTGCGGCGTAGGTCGAGGCAGGTGGAGTGGATGAAGGAGACGAATCGTTGGAGCAGAAAGGAAGAAGGCAGGCAAGCTGGAATGGCCTCCAACCTACAAGCGATGGCCTCCAACCTAGAAGCAGAGACTTCGGAGACTTGAGCTGAAATTATTTTGTCTCTGTAGATATGTAAGTTCGTTTTACTGCCATTTGTTGTTTGTTCTAGGGGCAGTAGGCCAGTAGGAGGTTTTTTTTTGGAAGTCAAGCTCCTCTAGACCTTTGGCGACCTTGGTTATTTGCACGTTTCTTCCTTCAATTCTTTCCGAAAAGAAGAAGACGGAGTCGAGAGCGATGAGGCACAATTGTGCAACATTTTTCTTTCCAGATCTGTGGGTGCGTCTGGTTGGAGGCCATCGCTAGTAGTAACGAGAAGCTACCAGTAACAAAGGGCATCGCTACTAGGAGCAAGGACGCTACTAGGGGCGCTCCTGGCCTTACTACTAGTAACAATAAAGCTACGAAAAAACCATCTATGCGAAGAGTTTGGCACCGGATGCAGGTTTTCGGAGCTGGGCACGTCGCCCACGTATCACTGAATGTGCTCACCCAGTTTTCGTTTCAAAGTATTCTCATTGCCCCAACGTGCCAGAGATCTGTTTGCGGCAAGGGAAAGCGCATATATTCCGTGCCAGATGTGTTTGCAAAGGCTTGAGATTGAACTTGAGGAAACGAGCTGCCCAACCTAGCTCAGTTGATGAAGGTACAGTGTGGAAAAAGAGGGTACTGCTGAGAACATGTGTGGGTCAGTTCAAGAGCCTTTGGCTACACATTTGCATTCCGTGGCCCCTGTCAGCTGCAGATGTGCAACCTTAGTACTCAAATATATCATATGATGATTAGATGCTCTGACCTCGATTGAAGACACCAGCGATGGCCTCCAACCTAAGAGCGATAAGAGCGATGGCCTCCAACCTACTTCGTAGCTGGGTGCAAATCTTACCTTCGAATTGCGACTTCTGCAGCGAGCTTCTCGTGGAAGAGCTGTGTCAGCGGCCTTTTCATATTACGAGATGTTGTAAAGCCAAACTAAGACGAGAAGAGAAGAAAACAGAATCTATTGGTCCTGCAATCAATTGCTGGCAAGGTTTAAGATTTTTCTCAGCAGCCTGGTCACCGTCGATCCAGAATGAGCCAATCTTCAGGGCAAGGTATTCCAGGCTTTCGAAGATTCCTGCAAAATGCATAGGAAATCCTAGACCTGAGGCCCGCTAGCATTTTCAATGTCAACAAACACCCCATATGCAGTGATGGCCTCCAACCTAATAGTGATGGCCTCCAACCCTACTTGCAATGACCTCCAGCCATAATCTTTCTATCTCTCAAATCAAAGCCTTGAACCTTTTCGCCGCCGGCTTTTCCAAAGTTTCTGAGCGCTCTAGCGGACAGCTGCAGAGGTTGCAACTCAATCAAGGAATATGATGTATGAATATGTCAGATGTTTGGCAAAGACAGGAGGTCGACATCCCTGCTTTCCTTTAGTGTAGTTCACATGCTACTTCTGCATTCATAGGTTTGCCTGGCTCGCTTCGTAGGTTTGTTTGGTTGGTTAAGTGCCCCTAGAGGATGCTACGACCGGCAACCAGCAACTCCCCAGATCGCTTCCAATCGTGCGACCTCGGCGGTGCAGACACAAAGCAGTGTGCATAGCGAACGCAAAAGTGCGGAATCTCCGAGCCCCTCGCATTGCAGCTACGTTCATAAGGCCAGCTACGTTTGTAGCGTCCGATCGCTCCTAGATGGACATGCCCACGTAGTGTTTGATACAGATTACTTTCCGCAGTAAAACACCTTGCTCAGAAGGCGTGGTAGGTTCTTGCTGATGCTGGGTTACGTTTGACAGATGCTTGACTCTAGCTGCTCCATGCAAGTGGCTTGATTCTTCGACTGGCCTAGTAGCTTCTTGTTCCTAGTAGTACGGCCAGGAGCCCCTAGTAGCTTCTTGTTCCTAGTAGTACCCTGCTGCGGAATCATTGGCCCAAGAACTGTTTTCGTCCAGGAAGTTGAGAATATGCCCAATCTGTTGCGACGAACAAGAAGTGCTGCAGCACACCTCAAGGTTGAAGAACAAGATCATTTCGTCCGAGCTGCATGACCAGATTCGGACCTCTTCACCCCCCAAACCGTGAGGGGTCGTGTTTTGTCAGGTTTTTCACTGGCCCGCTTGACCATTTGCAGAATCCGTTTCTTTGCTTGAAACACCGAGCGCTGAAAAGGAGAGCCTTATCTTTGAATCTTCAACTCTTCAACTTTCGCTGCGTTGCGAGCCGTAGCCATGGCTATGCCGCTATTGCTCCCAACGATCCCTGTCCCAGACCAAGACGAGCTCAAACACAGCACGGCATGTAATTCCTGGAGACGAAGGAACACGCCTGGTACCCATCATTGTCAACTTTTTGTCTTCACCTTCAGGCTTTTCTAGCAGGCTTGTCTTGGTTTGAATTTGTGAACAAGAATGGTGCTCCGATTCGTCCATCTGCTACACATTTGGTCAGTGGCAGTCAATTCACTTCCACCACTTCCACCACTTCCACTTCAAGTCTTTTCTTTCATTGAAACTTTTAAGAGTTTCTTTGTTCATATTTTTATTCTTTTTCTGACCCATTTTCTCTTCTTTTCATCACTTCTTTGGACTTTACTTTCGTCGGCGTACGAACGCGTCATTGAAAACACCCGTTGCTCCACCTGGCTTCGTTTGTGGCTTCGAGGTGGCAGCCAGCACAAGCACAGCTGCAGCAGGTGCTGGCGTCGCATATCGCCCACCTGATATGCTCCAGCCACAGCGCATTGAACTTCCAGGCTATTTGAACACCCCAGCCAGGCCAGCTGGACAGAGTTTCTTCGTTGCCTGTACCATTCTTTTCAGTTTACATGCTTTTTTTCGCCGCACTTTTCTGTGGGATTCGTGGGCACCACGCTACGTCGCTACCACATGCGACGATCAGGCGGCCTGATGGAGAACCGCTTTTACGAGAGGACCAGCTGCGGGCAAAACACGACATTCTTTCATATCAGATTCAAAAATAGACAGTCAGGGGTAGTAGCAAGTGCAGCAAGTGCATTGCTATTGGAGCAGGTGCATCGCTACTAGTAACAAACAGTTTTCTTTTTTACACAGAAAGCCTAGTGGTAAGAGCAGCCCAAGAGCAATGCATAGTTTCTTCCGTAGACCATGTGGAGTTGAGGTTCTTGAGCCCCTTGGGGCCTTAAGACACAGTGGGCTCGGTGTTTTTTGTTCTTTCATTTCTTCGCTTTCTTCAGACCTTTCTTCAGACCTTCTTCAGATCCTTTAAGACCTCTTTTCGTCTGCGCCTTTTCTTTCTTTTGGGCCCTTTCTCTCTTTCGTTCGGGCCCCCCCGGCCTTCCAGAGACGTTGGGTCGCGTCTTCGCGTCTTCGCCGCCAGGAGCGCAACGCGTCGTTGCGGAAGATGAAAGATCTCGCTGCTCGGAGCGAAAGATCGGAGCGACGACGGGGTCGCTCCCTCGCTCCCTCGTCGTCGAGTCCGATGTTTGCGGAGGTCGCCGGAGAAAGGAAGAACTTGAGCGATTCGCCTCCAAATAGAGATATAATTAGTTGTCATGCTGAAGATATATTCATAGATATAGTTATTTGTTATTTATACATGTTTCTTAAAAAGGGGCGGGTAACAAGTGTTAGCTAGTCATTAGTAAGAAAAAGGAGGCAAGTAGAACTCAGCCTTCCGATGTTTTATTTGTATTTTCCGCCCGTGGCCCTGCCTCCTTATACTTAATCAGGTAGGCGGCTACTTAATCAAGTATAGCGCTCACACGAATGATTTGGTTCCAAGATATTGAGGGAAACTTAAGCTACGAGCTTCTCCCTTACTTAATTATGTAGGCGCCTGCTTGATTAAGTAGGGAGGGGGGGGGAGCGGGCCAAAAAACAATGCCTAGCTTTCTTGCAGCTCAGCTTGTGCTCAGCAGACTGCTCAGCTTTTGCCCAGCTTGTGCTGCATGTCCTAACTTTCGGTCCAGTTTCTCGCGAGTTAGTTGGACGAGGAGAATCATTGGGGAGAAGCACAGGCACTTGCCATTGTTGGGGAGTTCAATAAGTACAAGGAACCAGCAAGACCTTGTTTCCTTATTTTTGGGCAATTTTGTTGGTTTCTTTTCAGATGCTTTCACCTACTTTTTTAAATCAATCCACAAGCGGAACATGTGGGTAAAACGTTGACCTTCGGCACTCAGGAGCTGTTGACCTTCGCCTGCCGTCGAGCTTCAAAGTTTCGGGAGGAGGGCCGTGCGCATTTCTCCTTGGGCGTCTTGCGGGACAACCTTTGCCAATATCAAAAGGCGGGCTAAGGTTTGTCCCATGTTTGTGCTAAGAGATCGACTCGTGTTCAAGTGTTCAAGTGTTCGGTATTTTAGGAACAAAATACCGAATCCTTCCTTGTTTTTCTCCATATCAAGGTGGTGACTCTTAAGAGAATGAAGACTCTTCCACCTCGTCTTGTCGAGGCCATCGAGGCCTACACGCAGTTCCTGAGAGTCTGCAAAGAGTGCAACGATAGCCAGGGCGCCGCTTTGGGATATCATTGCATAGCCGTGTGAACCCCCAGAGTGAGGAGAGTGAGGCATGCGAGGGCTATGGGCCTGAGAGACATGATTGCCTTTCAATGGGGGTAGATGCAAAGTGTCCCGAAACATCCATTAAGTAAGGGCTTGGAAAAAATCGGAACAAGCCAAACACATAGAAAACGAGTCAAAAGGGTTACCTGCGAGGACCTTTTGAAGGAAGCTCTCCCCAGGAAGCCTGGAGCAGAGGCCCCCCTGGGCCACAAGCAAAGATCATTTTGGATAATCCATATTTACTAGTTGGGTCTATCCCATTGTCAGTTGCGGTCAGTAAAAGGGCTTGCTTTTTATGCATATTTACTATATGTAAAACTTATTTCGATCAAGAACATCTTTGTGTATGCTTTTTGGATTTTGCTGCTTTTTGGGAAAGCATGATCTGGGTAGTCCCAAGACTTAAACTCCCGTATGTTAAGTGGAATTTCGTCGGCCGCCTTAAAGAAGCTCCTAAAGATCCATTCTCACTCACAAGAAGCTACTAGTAACAAGTGCATCGCTTCTAGTAACAAGTGCCTTACTAGTAGTAACAAGAAGCTACTAGTAACAAGGGCATCGCTACTACGAACCCGGGCATTGCTACGAACGTAGCTCCTGGCCGTACTATATACTAGTAACAAGAAGCTACTAGTAACACTAGCTCCGATTTTTCTTCTTTCCGAAAGAGTGGTCTCAGGTCGATTACCAGCTCCAGGGAAGCGGCCAGAGCAAAAAAGGCGACACGACTGACTGGAGTGTCAGAGTCGGAGAAGAACATTTAGAGCTTCTACTCATTGTGTGCGTCTTAGGTTGGAGGCCATCGCAATTAGGTTGGAGGCCACTGCTACTAGGTTGGAACGATGGTCAAACAGGTCATTTCATCATTTCATGTCATTTCCACATCTGCAGGTGACACAGAGGAGGAAGCGACGGGTGGGGAGTCCAACTGCTCAACTTTTTTCCACTTGAGGCCTTGAGTACTTTGGCCGGATTTTGAGATTCTTCAACCCCTACAGATAGTGTTGCCACCATAGTGTGGCCACCATCTTGCATGGGGGTGTTGCCACCGGAGATCTCAGATTGCCGCTGAATCTACAAAGGCCAGACTACCTCCAAGGGTGCACTGGATATGCTGGGGTACGGTGCCCTGGAGATTTGCGAATTGATGTGTCCGATGCTTTGGATCAGCTTGACACGTTGGTATGCTTTCAGCTTAACAGGTGCATCGCTGCTAGTAACAAGGGCATCGCTACTAGTAACAAGGGCATTACTACTAGTAACAAGAAGCTACTAGTCACACTTGGAAGCTTCTATTGCCAAGATCAAGGATGTAGATCTCTTAAGCTCGGCGTGAGCTGCTTTCCGAGTCAGGATCTGTGTAAGGGGGAGCAGTTTCTAGTGAAGCTCGGAACGAAGTTGAACGAAGACACCATCACAATAGCCTTGGCAGCTTTGGCTTCAGTGAATCACCAACATGAATATCAATTGCAGTGCCTTGTAGATACAGCTGTGGCAAGCTCGCTGCAGGGTAGCAGGCAATGAATGCATCGACCATTCCTAACTAAAACCGTTCTTTTTCGAATGAGAAAGACCACCCAGACCTAAGACCTCGTTTAGGTAGCTTGCTTGTTCTAGGCCTAGCGGGCTTGTCCAAGGCATAGCTGCCTTCTTGTACACCGTTCGTAGCTTCTTATTACTAGTAGTGCCAGGAGCGCCCCGTTCGTGGCGTTCGATCGTTAGCTACGAGTAGCGATGCCTTTTGTTACTAATTCGTAGCTTCTTGTACACCTCACTTATACTAGTTATACCATTCATCTGCACAAAGTCCTGCAGGTGCCATGGCCGCTCAGTTTTGTCCCACCTGTGCGAATCTCCTGATCGTGGAGATTGGGCGCCAGTCGAACTCCGCCTTTCGATGTCGCACGTGTCCCTACATCTACCATATCCGAGAGAAGCTGACGTCCAAGCAACTCATCGCCAGAAAGGAAGTGGACGACGTCCTGGGAGGTGCGGAGGCGTGGAAAGATGTGGACCAAACCGACGCGCACTGTCCCAAATGCGCGCATGGACGCGCCTATTTTCGGCAGATGCAGACGCGATCGGCGGATGAACCGATGACCACGTTCTACAGGTGTACGCAGTGTGCGCATAATTGGAAGGAGGACTGAGGTCGCACGACAGGAGGACTCGCACGACTCGTTCCTCTTGGATCCTGGAAGCCGGTCTCGGTGCGAAAAAGCGCTCGCTTGCGGCTTGCTTTTTGGAGACTAAAATGCCCTTGCTCCTAGTAGCGTCCTTGCTCCTAGTAGCGATGCCCTTTGCTCCTAGTAGCAAAGGAACCTACTTGCGATGGCCTCCAACCTTTGGACATACTTGCACATTTTTGACACTTCCTTAAGGGCGGCCTTTACATGGACATACTTGAACATCGCCATTTCTGAGGGCTTTCTTTTATTCCGCCTCCCTTCTAGTTCTTGGTTAAACGGACAAGGTAACCCAGGTGTAGATGTCGGAGCAAGAGTGTAGCAACAGAGGAAAGAGCCCAACAGTGCGAACGTTGTATTTGGCCGTCCGTCCTGCCCGTGAAAAGGGTTTAACAGTTTAACAAAAAAAGCAAGCTATTCGTGAGGACGGAAAGTAGGAGGACGGACGGCAAAGAGGCCTTGTTTTGTTTTTCTGAGGCCGCCTCCCTCCGCGAGGACGACCAGGTGAGAGGACAGTTGTGGACGACAAAAACAGGAATAGGAATAGGGTAGGCAGGTAGGGCTTGAGTATAGCTAGGCTATAGCTAAGTAGGTTAAGGATGCAAGCTACTAAGCTTAAGTAGCTGCTGATCAGATGCAGGAATGAGGGAAAGCTCTCGTACTATTCATGTGATTTCTAGATTTATGTGGACACTCAACTTATTTCGTTCCGTGTTTGGTTGTTTTCAACATTCTGAGTTTTACTCTTCAAGCCGCGACACCTTCAGCATTGACCAAAGCAAATGAAAGCCAAGAGCAGGAGTACGCAAGCGTACACCAAGGACGACATCCCCCAAAACAGTAGCAGCAGAAAAGAAGGAAGAGAAAGCATCAGAGAGAGAGAGAGAGAGAGAGAAGAAGAAAGAAGAAGGGAGGAGAGAAGAGAAAAATAAGAAGAGGAATACACATCTAAAGAGAAACTGTCCCAAAAAGCAAGAACAGGAACATAGAAGCAACTTCTTGGATTTAGAATTGAAGGCCTGAGCTCTTGAGGAAGGCCATCTATTACCACAACAGGCCGAGGGGCGGAACTTTTCATGCGGCATGCTGAACCGTTGAAATGCTTCTCTCGGAACAAGAGATTGAACATGAGTTGAAGAATCTAGATTCAGAGTTGAACTCAGGATGGAGCAGTCTGACACAACTAGCGATGGCCTCCAACCGACTAGCGATGGCTGTTAATGCTTTTCGTTCCACTTGGTTTTGGCTTCAGCACCTATTCTTGTGTCGACTCAGCTTGAAATTCGATTCCACACGATCCCACACTTGGTGACGGTGCTATGCTGTGGGTTTGATTGGATTTCAGATTGACAGTTGGTGGTAGGCACATGTTTGTCTATGTGATTGCTATTTATGGTATTCATCTATTTGTCTTCTCGAGACATGCTTTATACATCTTGATATTCTCCCCTTTTTCAGTCGCGTCCTTGCTCCCAGTAGTCATGGCCTCCAACCTAGTAGCAATGGCCTCCACCCTAGTAGCATCCTTGCTCCTAGTAGTACGGCCAGGAGCCCCTAGTAGCGTCTGATCGCTCCTAGTAGCGATGCCCTTTGTTCCTAGTAGCGTACAGTAGATGGACAAATTCATCCAACCCCCAAACCACATGCTAGATCGTCCACCTACGGTAGTTCTTGTCGTTTTCCCGTTCTCTTCGTGAAAGGCATCGAGAGATCGCTGACAGTATCGGCAAGTTTGTGGCGCACCTCAACATGGGGCAACGACCTCGGTGCAGTGGGCCTTTGGCCTTTTGGCATCGGCCTAGAAACAAAAGAAGACCAGACGGAAAGAAAAGCGAACAACAAAAAGACAAAAAACCCATGTGTTTTCCTTTCTTTTCTTTTGAAAAAGGAAAGAACAAAGACCACACCTCATGGCACGATATGGCGTATGGACCGGGCCGATATAAGACCATCCCCATTCGATCCCCGAAAAGGAAAGCTTGGCAGTTGAAGTGTTACGGAAAGGAACCTACTAGCGATGGCCTCCAAGCTTGTGAACGGTTTGTAGCCTACTGTAGCCTAGTAGCTTCCGATTCAGAATTTGCTTTTAACTTTTAACATCTTTTTTACATACTTAGCTTAGTAGCTTCCTTGCTCGTAGTAGTAAGGCCAGGAGCCCGTAGTAGCGTCCTTGCTCCTAGCAGCTTCCTTCATAAGGGAAGACATTCCACTTGCCATGTGCACTGCAGTCCCGACTCAGGTTGGCTTATGCACAACTTGGTGAACGTGAAGCGTCCACGGTGAACCATCAGCAGCTCTGAATGCACTTTGGGTCGAGAGGACCTGAGAATCTGAAAGAACCAGAAGAGCACATCATCTAAGCGAAGAGGAACACCAGCTCTAAGATATCCAAAATAATTCTGACGGAGACTCTTGTGGAAGCCTCCAACCTACTAGCGATGGCCTCCAACCTAATGTTAAGTTTCCCTAAAAGTCTAGAAACCAAATGAATAGCGTGAGCCATCCTGCGTCCAGTTACTTACTAGTCCCTCAATTAAGTAGGGAGGGTGGGAGAGCGAGCAGGCTAAAACATTGAGCAAATAACCACATCATTCCTCTTTTTTTCTGAGGTATGCATTGAGATATGCCTTGCAGCTTCATAGCTTGGAAGGTCAGAGCTTGGTTCGGAGCTCAGCGACAGGTTTGATGTTCGACATTTCTGATGGTTCTGTCCAATCGCCGCGGTCAGAACAGTCACATGTTTTTTCCAAAAGGCCTAGAAAGAGTTTGTTAGCTTTGTTATTTGTTTAAAACTCATTTTTCTTTAACGACTTTTCTTTTGAACCCTTTTTTCCACAGTCGATGGGTCGCCACAAAGAGAGCCACAGCGGGGCCTGGAGCATGTCCAGAAGGGAGAAAGAAAGAAAGGAGGAAAGATTTCAAGAAAGAAGGACAAAAGACACACAAGTCACATAAACATGACAATTGACAGGTGGTTTTGTTTTGAAGTAATTTTGGTTGGTGGGTGTCACTGCCGCTACGAACCAGACCACCAAACGCTTTCTGAAGACTTACCGCTACCATGCGTGCATCCCTCGTTCCTCACAACAACAGTCAGTAGAAAGGAAGCAATGCTTTCTGTAAGGAACCAACATCCAGTTCTACTGAGCGCTGAAAGAAATTCGTTTGTCGGTTGGAGGCCATCCCTCTTAGGTTGGAGGCCCATCGCTACTAAGTTGGAGCACGCTGAAAGAAGTTCGTTTGGTTTACCAGTAGCGTCCTTGCAGCAGGTAGCTGGAGTTACTCTTGCTATTCTCTTGCTAGTAGTAATAATAATGCCCTTTGTTCCTAGTAGCTTCTTGCTCCTAGTAGTAAGGCCAGGAGCCCCTAGTAGCTTCTTGGTTTACCAGCTTTGGTTTGTGCGCAGCTTTTCAATCCCGCCCAGGCCATCGGCAGCCTGAGTTTTAGTGCAGGCATGTACGACCACGAGCCGGACAAGGCCTGTCACCCTACCTTCGCTTCATACCTGTCCAGCTTCGCAACTCAGAGTAACTGTCTACCCTTCACTGAAGTAACAAGAAGCTATTCGGGGCTCCTGGCCATACTACTAGGAGCAAGGAAGCTATTACCCTTCACTGAACAAGCGATGACCTTTGAAGCCTTTGCTCGATATTTTGAGTCCGGTCCGCTGCGATGTTGACTTTGTGGACCTTTGGACCGAGCGTGGATGTCAGTGAACTGAAGATGTCCTGTTGGCACCAAACATGTCTTCGTGTCTGCAATTTTTTATGTGTCCTTCGGATGAAGAGCAAGGATAGCAGAGAACATGCTGTTTCTACGAGAAAGATCACAATGTTGTGACATCATATTATGCAGACAGCGATGTTGTGACGAAGACAATCTGATGTGGTAACAAGAAAGGGGATGCTGCGTTAACAAAGGTAATGCTGTGATAATAGCAAAGATATTGACCGACAACCAAGAATGATGACGAAGCTGATTTGGTGAAAACACAGATGTCATGTTGATGTTGTGTTTGTATTGACGATTATACATAAACATATATACTTATATATACATAGGAATATTTGTAAGAGTAGAATAATGGTAACAGTAGTAATGATACGATGATGCTGCTGATGATGATGAGGCTGGTGGTGGAGCTGGTGGTGCTGGTAATGATGATGGTAATGGGGTGACTTGACGACGATAATAGTGTTACAATCTTATGATAACGAAGCTGCTGCTGAAAGAAGGAGGGTGAGACAATCACGCTAGCAGACATGATGGCGAGATAACGAAGACATTCTTGTGATGCATCTGTATCTTGAAATATTGAAATCCCCCACACTACACAGTCGATTTCGACTTTGCAAGTTTCAAGTTTTGCCCTTGTGGCCTGATAGAAGTACCTTTAAATTACTAACATTACGAACAAGAACGGTTCTTGTTCTGAGGCTTTGCAACAGATCTTCGACCGTCCAAAAGGTTGCCAACAGCATGTTACCACTTCTTGTGGATTGAACGGTTATCTATCAGTTAGACAAGAAGCTATTAGAAACAAGTGCCTTACTACTAGTAACAAGAAGACAAGAGACGAGACGTCGACTGCGCTAGATGAAAATCTTGGTGGAGCGCTACGTCGACTTGTGCGGAGTCCTCAAGCAAACTCGGAACCAGGCCGACCGGACGCTCGCTCGTGCCGAGCTACCTAGCGATCTTTCGTGTCTTTCGTCCGCGATCTTTCGTAGGAGAGGGTTTTTGTTTTTGTTTCATTTGTTCCTAGTAGCTTCTCGTTACTAGTAGCGATGGCCTCCAACCTAATAGCGTCCTTGCTACTAGTAGTAATGCCAGGAGCTACTAGTAGCGTCCTTGCTCCTAGTAGCGATGCCCTTTGTTACTAGTAGCGTCCTTGCTACTAGTTTATTTTGTTTCCCACTTGCCAGTCCTAACTCAGAACTTGAGAGTTTAGGTCTGGATCGGCAAGTATAGCAAGTGTCGGATTTGGAGCATTGGCGGGGACGCAAACGCGAATTCCATAAAAAGACAGGTTTGAAGATGTGAAGAATAGAGGAAAGAAGGAAGGTCTGAAGAATGAAGGTAGACATGTAAGAAGGGAAGAACTAGAAAGGTTGGAAAGGACGGACAAAAAGAAAGGAAGCATGAACACCTAGTAGCGATGGCCCTCAAACCTGACTCCCAAAAGAGACTAAAAAGACCAAGACGTACAAGAAGGAGAACAAAGGAGAACACTTCCTTACTAGTAGTCTCATAGGCCCGTGCATCGCTAGTAGTAGCTTCTTGTTACTACCAGTAAGGCACTTGTTACTAGTAGCGAGGCACTTGTTCCTAGTAGCATCCTTGTTCCTAGTAGTAAGGCACTTGTTCCTACTGAGAGACATTTGGAAGGCCATTGCCCTCAAGAAGCTGGGCATGCTGTCGAGTCAGCTTGGTCTCGGCACCCGGAGCGAGAGGAGAGGAGACTGGCACGAACACTAACAAGGACGCTACGAACGGAGCAAGTGCATCGCTTCTAGTAACAAGTGCCTCACTACTAGTAACAAAAAGAATTTAATTAGAATTGTAATTACTAGCAAAGGAATCTACTAGGACCTTTTCGCGCCCGCGCGCCCGGGGGGGGGTAGGAAGTTACTAGGAGCAAAAGGGCATTGCTACTAGGAGCGATCGGACGCTACGATCGGGGCTCCTGGCCTTACTACTAGGAACAAGGACGCTACTAGTAACAAGGGCATCGCACCCAGTAGCATATGCGAACACTGTAAAAGCACAGCCGACTGAGTGAGTTTGTCAACACGAGGTGGGCAGTACACTGTTTTTCTTTCTAATAGCAATGGCCTCCACCCTAGTAGCGATGGCCTCTAAGACTTCCGAAATTCCCTTCCACCTGCTTCGCTTTCTTCTCCTTCTCTCCAAGAAGCCTTTGGCACAGTTGTTCGCGGCCCTGCCAGCACTTTTCGGCGCGGAAAACGAGGCCAAAACGAAGAAAGCATCGAATACTTTCAGCAGGCGAAGAAGCGAAGAGAAAAAGGGACGTGTTTTCAATAGCACTAGTAGCTTCTTGTTACTAGTAAGGTGCCTTGCTACTAGTAGCTATTTGCTACTAGTAGAAATGCCAGGAGCTACTAGCAGCTTCTTTTCTTTCTTTTTTTTTCTTTTCCTTTCCTTTCCTTTCCATTCCATTTTCTTTCTTTGTTTCTTACTAATAGCAACGGGCTCCAACCTAATAGTTTTCTTTCAAGGTCACTCTCACTCGCAAGCTTAGTAAGAGAGTAACAGGAATATTGATGTGGTTCCTAAAAGAAAGCTCTCCTGTAAGGGTAGTCAAGGCTCCCAACGTGCGCCTAGGGCCTAGTAGTGAGGTTTGAGAAGTCAAAGGCAAAGAAAGAGTCCTTGCAAGTAGTAGTACTTGTAGTGCCTTTCTTTCTTTGGAATTACTTTTTCCAATGTGTGAGAAGGTCAGGTCACATGGTTTGGGACTCCACAGAGTGTGAAGCACGTTTAACCAAGAAATACATGCAAAAAGAAAGGTCTGAAAGACCGGATAGCACCACATGCAAAGCTTTTGTGTTTACAACAAGTGGAGGCAAAAACAGAAGAGGCATGCTAATGGATCAGTGTTTGCGGATGATGAACAGAGATGCGAAGTATGATGGTGAACATATCTTTCATGATTCAGTGAGTGAGGGAGGGTGGGTGGGAGGGAGGGAGTTGAGTGAGGTGCGTGAGTTCACTTGGAGTGAGTTGAGTGGAGGAGGAGAAGGAGGAGGAGACGGACAGGATGCAGAGTAAAAGTAAGAACCCCACATAAAGACGTAGGAACAGCAACACGGAAAGAACGGCAACAACAAATGACTTTGGTGGTTTGAACGGCGACGACCTGCCCGAAGGCCATTGAATGTGCTCGAGCGCAAGGTGATCATGAGGCATCGAACTTAGATGGAAAAACACATTGTTTTGAGTTGAAGACTTAGGTCACCACCAAAACAGTAACGAGTTGGGATGGCCTCCAACCTACTAGCGATGGCCTGCGTTCTTTTCCCTTGTTTTGCTTTACTTCTTTCAGACCTTCCGATCTGTTCCATGTCATTGTTTCTCTTTTTCGAGGTTCCGAATAGTAAAGGGTCGTGGGATTCCAGGCATAGGGTCTGGGCTGTTCGGAGCAACTCGAAGATAGGTGGAAGAACTCGAGGTCGGGTTGCGAAGGTCAGGAATGCCAGGACAAACAAACACAGAAAACAAAACAACCGAATGAAACACCAGTCAGGCAGATGTGGGGCTTGTTTCGTCAAAAGCATCAGCATCCGGCTAATCTTTTGTCGTTATGCACCCAAACGTGTGTGTTGCCCCCAGGGCGTCCACACGGGGTGTTAATGCCAAACAACACAACCGCAGAACACATGTTGGAAATTGTGTCTACTCTCGTGAGAGTAGCTGCTCACAGCTGCTCCCTTAGGCAGAGAAGGACTGCGCTGTTCGATTGGGCATCGCCGCTGGCCAGGCATGAACCAACACATGCAGCAATGTGCTGCATGCATTTTGCAAAAAACAACACATGTCGTTTCGCTTTGACAATGTTGCCTGCAGATGTCATTTGAGTCAGAAAGCAAGCTATTAGGTTGAAGGCCATCGCTATTCACATCTCAGCAAGGTCCAGCCAGAAAGGCATATTCAACTAGCTCTATGCACTAGAATGAGGAGCTCTAATGAAATTTACGCATGGTCTTCAAGATAATGTCATTCAAAAATAGCATTCTTATTTGGTGCATGTTGTCCAAGAACCCCTGAATGAACATTTACACATCCTCTTTTTGGTATGTTTCTTTGGCTGTTCTGTCATGCATTTTGTTTCTTTTTTCCCCAAACAGTTTACTGTTGAGAGAGCTGGCCACTGTGGCTGGCCGCGCGAAGAAAAAACGCTGTGTCCGGGGCTGGTCCTCGGTACGTAAGAATGGCTTAGTTAGTAAGGGGCCCTAGGGAGGGGGCACACGGATTCCTAAACTTTTAGGGAACTTAGCTCGCAGACATGGTTTTATTCCCTAACAGCAGCATGCTTTGGGGTCTTCAGCCATAGTAAAGGTTTCGGAGCAAGCCGGAGCAGCTCCCAAAGACATTCCCCCAGGTTCCCACAAGGTTCCCACAAGGTTCCAAGGTTCCCGCCAGGTTCCCACAAGGTTCCCAAGGTTCCTGCAAGGTTCCTGCAAGGTTCCTGCAAGGTTCCCAATGTTCCCACAACTTTGTTCCACAAGGTTCCCCCAAGGTTCCCACAGCTTTGCTCCAACGTTCCTACGAGGTTCCCACAATTTTGTTCCACGAGGTTCCCACAACTTTGTTCCACAAGGTTCCCACAACTTTGCCCCACAAGGTTCCCGCCAGGTTCCCACAAGGTTCGCAAGGTTCCCACAAGTTTGCTCCAAGGTTCCCACAACTTTGCTCCAAGGTTGCCCCAAGGTTCCCACAGCTTTGCTCCAAGGTTCGCGCAAGGCTCCCACAACTTTGCTGCAAGGTTCCCAGAAGCTTCCCACAACTTTGCCCACTTTGCTTCAAGGTTCCCACAAGGGACCAAAGGTTCCCACAACTTTGCTCCAAGGTTGCCCCAAGGTTCCCACAGCTTTGCTCCAAGGTTCCCACAAGGTTTCCACAACTTTGCCTGTCAACCTTGGAAGGGACCCCAAAGGTCCCCGCAACCTTGCTCCAAGGTTGCCCCAAGGTTCCCACAGCTTTGCTCCACGGTTCCCACAAGGTTCCCACAACTTTGCTGCAAGGTTCCCAGAAGCTTCCCACAACTTTGTCCACTTTGCTTCAAGGTTCCTACAAGGTTCCCACAATTTTTTGCAAGGTAAGGTTCCCACAACTTTGCCCCACGAGGCTCCCAAGGTGCCCACAACATCGTTCCACAACTTTGCCCCACAAGGTTCTTCCAAGGTTCCCACAGCTTTGCTCCAAGGTTCCCACGAGGTTCCCACAACGTGGCCCCGAGGTTCCCACAAGGTTGGCGCAAGTTTCCCACAAGGTTCCCGCAAGGTTCCTAACCGACAGTCAAGGAAACGTCATCATACCTCAAGTCTATTTCATTGTGCTTCCTACTGTTACCTTTTACCTTGCTAACCTTTTGGTATCCTATCCTCTTAGTTTCCTCCTGTTCTTCATTCGGGCCCCGAATCCACTTTCGGGCCCCGAATCCAGTTTCGGGGTCCGTATCCACAGTCAAGGACACCTCATGATATTTCAAGTCTATTTCATTGTGCTTCCTACTGTCACCTTTTGCTTGCTAACCGCTAACCTTTTAGTATCCTATCCGAATCCTTTTAGTTTCCTCCTGTTCTCCATTCGGGCCCCGAATCCGCTTTCGGGCCAGTCAAGGACACCTCATCATACCTCAATTGTATTTCATTGTGCTTCCTACTGTTACCTTTTACCTTGCTTACCTTTTAGTATCCTATCCTCTTAGTTTCCTCCTGTTCTTCATTCGGGCCCCGAATCCACTTTCGGGCCCCGAATCCAGTTTCGGGGTCCGAATCGACAGTCAAGGAAACCTCATCATACCTCAAGTCTATTTCATTGTGCTTCCTACTGTTACCTTTTGCCTTGCTAACCTTTTAGTATCCTATCCTCTTGGTTTACCTTGCTAACCTGAAGAAAAAGTGTTGCATTTTGCGCTTAAGCTGTTGGGGATATTCTTTGGGCTTATTATTATTTTTTTGTGGACTATTATTTCAACATTTTTTTTTGCGCATTGGATTCGGCTTGGAGGCCAAGATGGCTGAGCATTTGAGCACGATCCTCCAACGGTCAGTGATAGGTCCTGACTGATGCAAAGCAAAGCAAACGAGCTCCAAATTGGATCAGAATTCAGTTTTTCCATGTGAAATGGATATCCTTTCCCAAGATGTTGGTGGATCCATGTGGATGCCATACCGAGCTCTGTTTGTGTACATGAAAGCTAGTCGCAGCAATCCCTCGAAGGGGGAGGCAGCGGTTTCCGCAAGCACCGGGTCACCAGCGTTTGCAAGCTGAAAAATGGTTCCAGTTGGAGGCCATCGCTACCGGGTTGGAGGCCATCGCTTTGGACAGCTTGACTGACATCTCATAGGCTGAAGAAAGGGTTGAAGAGACAGAAAAACTACTCAAAAAAGAAAAGGAAGAAAGGTCTAAAGAAAACAGGAATAGGAACGAACGGTTTAACGAAAATTCCGTAAGGAAGGTCCAAAGTATATAAGAAAGGCAAGGGGAACAGGAAGAGTTTACAGAAAGGGAAAAGGAAGAACAAAAGGACGAAAAGGTCGAGTCTAAAGCTTAAAAGAAGGAACTACCAGCTACTAGTAACAAGGGCATCGCTACTAGGAACCCGGGCATCGCTACTAGGAGCAAGGACGCTACTAGTAACAGAAGACCAACCTCTGGACACCTCATAATGCCTCTGGACATCTCATCTCACCCTTCTCCAGGGGCGCTTTGCAAGCAAATTCACCTAGTAGCGTCCGATCGCTCCTAGTAGCGAGGCCAGGAGCCCTTAGTAGCTTCTTGTTACTACTAGTAAGGCACTTGTTACTAGTAGCGTTCTTGCTCCTAGGTAAAGTATGGCCTCCAACCTAGTAGCGTCCGATCGCTACTAGTAGCGATGCCCTTTGTTCCTAGTAGCGTCCTTGCTAGTAGCGATGCCCTCTCAATCCGGTGACGAATCTCCTGGCGGTCTTTTGCGGCTCAACGGAAGCGTGGCACTACGCCGACCAGTGCCTTGGCTGCAGATGGCAAGCAACTTGTGGAGGTTGGAGGCCATCGCTAGTAGGCACATTTTTCAAGACCCTTTGCAAGGCTTCCATCCGCGAGCTTGGAGCCAAGAGTATTGCGAGCTGAAGCACTTGCTGTTTTTCTCGAAAAGCTACACATTCTTCTTTGAATCATGCTTTCTGTCGTCTCAATTGGAGTTACAAGAACCCCCTACAGAACACAAAACTTCCTATGTCTTCACCATCCAAGCCGACACAATTTCGCGAATTCAGCATAATAGGGCTTCACTGCAGCAGGAATTGCAAACGACTTCTAGACATTTAGAACCCTTCGGACCCTTCTGGTTCCGTTTCTTCTTCTGAGAGAGATGGGAATGAAGGGCGAGAGCAGCTGAGGCCCACCAAGTGGGTTCAGTGCCAAAGCACGCAGGCGAGAAGGTCCAATTGAAACGGCACAACACATGGTGCGCTGCGTTGTTTGTTTGAATTTCACGTCAACGAACTGTTTCTGTTTGGTGTTGCTTGTGCCATGTTTTGGCTTCCTATTCTCTTTCTGGGCGGCCTTGGCCTTATCCTTTTCTGACGGAGCCAGACGGATGTTTGCTGAGGTGTGTGGCGTTGGGAGATGCACATCATTGGAAGTATGGTGGGCTTTTGGGTACGGCGCTCCTTCAGCGAGGTCCAGGCGCCCTGGCAAGACCAGACCGTATCGCCCTTTTTTATCCGATGGACCTCGAGACCATCCTTTTTTCTGAGGCTTAAGAGTAAGCAAGCAAGAGGTGAGTAGCTACTAAGCTTCAGAAGCTACTCTCAATGATTTGCTTCCTAGATTGGGAAAACTTTAACTATTGTTACTACTAGTAAGGCACCTGTTACTACTAGCGATGCACTTGTTCCTAGTAGTAACAAAGATTAATAGGAATGGCCTCCAGCCTGCTTGCGGCTAACCTAAGAGCGTCGTCATGGAGATCCTGAAGACTCACGGAAGTGATCTTGCGAGATGAAACTCTCCTTTGCCTAAAACAAAAAGTTAATAGTTTTTTGTTACTACTAGTAAGGCACTTGTTACTACTAGCTTCTTGTTACTACTAGTAGGGCATGAAACTCTCCTTTGCCTGCCATATGCGGAGGCTCCATCCATGGTTGCTTTGCGTGACAAGGCACACGGGATGAATTCAATCGATTTGGGGAGGCGTTCTGTTAGGAGCAAGAACGCTACTAGTAACCAAGGGCATCGCTACTAGTAACAAGTGCCTTACTAGTAGTAACAAGGACGCTACGATCGGGGCTCCTGGCCTTACTACTAGGAGCAAGGACGCTAGCCGCAAGTGATGATGTTCACCCAGACCGCCAGGTGGCAGCAGGAGTCTCTTCAACACCAAATACAGCGCAAGCGCCAGGCGTTGCTTTTTGTCGCCTTGCATTAGAACGATTTGAAAGGCGTGTACTTTGCAGCGCTACTAGGAGCGATCGGGCGCTACTAGGAACGCTCCTGGCGAGCAAATGGGCATAATGTGTAGGGCACTACTAGGCCCGGAACGCACCACTTATTGCCTACCACTTTTCAAAGTGTTTTGTACTTGCAATGGCCTCCAACCTACTAGCGACACCACTGGTGAATTTCAAGCAAGACGACGGATTTTCTTTCTTTCTTTCCTTTCTCTGAAAGAAGAGGTTGAAACGGAAAGATGGCAGGCCTTTTTGTATGGACCTTGATGTCCTTTTTGTTCCAGAAATGAGCAGGACTTCAACTGACCAAGCAGTCTCCACCAGAAGAACGTGTGGACATTCTTGCAGAGGGGTGGCTTGATTTTACTTATAAATATTGTTTCTAATAGCTTCTTGTTCCTAGTAGTAAGGCACTTGTTACTAGAAGCGATGCACTTGTTCCTAATGGCTTTATTCTATTTTACTTATTTTTTTGGATTAGTGGACTACTGCACGTGTGACATTGCCTTGCAAGCTTTCACCAGACCTGACTTTATCACATGTCGCCGCACTACAAATCTTCGCCCAAACTTGGACAGACAAAAACTTTCAGAAACCCAATCTTTTGATCCTTTCACAGGAATGGGTATTCAAGTCTCGCCCAGATCCTTCTTACAAAGGAAGAAGGATGTTTGTTCTCGGGCGGTGCAAAGACCGGAACACCGATGTTGAGGCGTTGCTGGTCGCTTTGAGAGGAGCCGTCAGTGCGAACTTCCCACGACCACGTTCACAACCACCCAATCGTCCCTGAGATTCTAATGGAATTCTATTTAAATATTGTTTCTAATAGCAAACATTGTTGCTACTAGTAAGGCACTTGTTACTAAAAGCGATGCACTTGTTCCTAATAGCTTCTTGCCACCAAGACGCGCACGGGAAGACCAGCGTCCCTGGGAGTCCCTTTATGACGCATGGCCCCCATCCGTGGAGCCTGATTTGACGGGTGTTCTTTCGCCGCGCGATCTGTTTTGCATTCCCTAAAGCCCAGTTGATCAATGCTATACTATAATGACCCGTGCATGTTGCATGTTGCGTGCAGGTATGAAGAGGAGACCTGAGACGGAGTGTTGAGAACATTCGAACTCAGGCTCTTAACATAGCGAGATTGAGACACACTTCTTAAAGGGGAGGAAAAAAAAACACGCTTCAAGAACATGCAGAGGGGATGGTCGGATGGTCTCTTAAAGTAGCAGCTAGCATTCTTGTGTGGTGGTGCTGCAGTTTCACCACCACTGTCAGATCGGGCCTGATTCCGTAGATGCATGATGGAGCACTCTCAATGGTAGGAATTGCTCTTCTGAGCAATACGTTGTTTTTGTGTTTTGCTTTGTTGGCAATCTTGTAAACTCTAGTCTAGGAACTCTAGAATTGCTCTTGATGCTCACTTGCTAGTACTGTAGCAATGCACTTGTTCTGTAAAGGCTTTACATTTTGGAACCGTTTCCAGGACAGACTCCTACAGCGCTGGAAGCGACAGTGAACCTCCAAGCCGAGCTGGGAGCCTCTCATCCGATGAGGAGATTTCGGAGCGATCGGACGCTACGAACGGGGCGCTCCTGCAAGAACGCTACGAACGGAGCAAGAACGCTACGAACGGGGCTCCTGGTTTTACTACTGGGAACAAGGACGCTACTAGGAACAAGAATTCGAGAATTGGGTCTGGGAGCATGGAGTGGCCGCAAGCAAGTAGCATTCAATGAGTATGTTTCCCTTTTGGACCTTTAGACCTATTGTAAGGGCTCCGCCCGGGTGCCGCCGACCCCATTTCATCTCGAGGGTTTGGCGGTTGAACCTTGACAACTTCCTGGGATTCAACAGCGAGACTTGAATGGGCTTCACACCAATGCTGGCATTCAACCAGCTGCCGAGAAGAGGGCAAGGCTGCGGTGAGGCTCTGGGGAGCGTTTGAAGCCGAGCCAAAATGC